ACAAAGAAGGGGCTTGGTTTACGATTATCGTCTTTCGACTAAGCCACGAAGGGGGATATAGTAAAGGGGCCGTGATTATTTGATGGGCGGAGTATGATGAACGAAAGTCCGCTTTGCAAAGCTTAACAACGTTGAACACGCAAGCTTAGCAAGATAAGGGGGGCGCATACTGATAAATAGTAATGTCTCTCATGTGGGATTTGGGCTTATCTGACTCGATAAATTTCCTGCTCATAGTTTTCATTATTTTCTTTACTTGGCAGTGGCGCATTGCTTGGTGAGAAGACAATTTCACCCATTATCGTTCCCAAAATAACCACAAAGTATGTATTGTTGAGAACATGTGATATTAATATTAGTTAGTAACATTGCCTTATGACGTAAGCTCGAGCCAAGTACTGCGGTACCAGAAAATAAAAACAGAAAAAGTGAACGGGCGGGATGGTTATATTTCGTAATTCCCAATAATAGCATACTAAATATCAATAATAATAACAAATATCAATACAAAATATCAACTCAAAATATATCAATAACAAATATCAATACAAAATATCAATACAAAATATCAATATAAAATACCAATATAAAATACCAATATAAATATCAATGCATGTTTACAATTATAATCTTGATTATTGCATCTTGGTATTTTCATCCCGTTATCTTGTTATGTCTTTATGTCAGCAGCTTTATGTTATCTTTTATGTTATTTCCTCTTTTTCCGATACACAAGAATACAATGATTTTAAGGATTTGTTTATAAATGCAAGACACGATTATTTATACTAAATTTGATGTATATGCCATGTGAACATACCAGGTAGTCTGATAACAGATGTGTCACTTGCAATCCTCAACTGTCAATGGAAGGGGATGCATGCGCATTTACTCTTGTTAGTGTGTGTTATGTTACATATTTTGATAGTAACCGCCTTATCCGTAGTATCTGCTAATCGGCAGACTTATCCGATAACGATTGTATATATTTAACCGACACGATTACATTTAATTAAGACTGAAACTTATCCGCTTTCGCCTTAGCGCTTTTTTGTCTTATAAAAGGGCTGTAAGCAAAGAGAACAGTAAAGTTACTCTTAAAAATTTTGGCATACAGTCTCTAGCTTGAAGACGAGTCTTTTTAAAATGCACTCTTGGGTAGGGGAGTTCCCCCATAACGATACTTACTCGGCTATCTCTGGATATGTCTCCATTGCTTGTTGGTTTGTCGTATTACTGCCGTAAGTCATAATGAAAGAGTGAGGGGGAAAGGAAAGAGACATGGAGAAGAAAAAAAGTGCCTTGTTTACCGAGATACTAATGCTTGATTATTCCCACTTTTACAAAGGCAAATATGGACCATCTACAAGACCAAATCAAGCGACTCGGTATCGATGACCTTTGTATGTCTGTGGCTTGCTGGCGACCTACTCAACTTGGCCGGAAGCGTTCTCCAACATTTACTTTTTACCATGGTAAGTATTTAGTTAGTCCCATGATTGCATTGGATCACAGTTAAAACCCCAAGCCTTCTTCTCCGCGTGAAATCATACCTAAAGAGTACATTTAGAATAAATTACTTAAATAGAATATTGACTAGGGGATCGTAGATCACGTAAAGGAACGTTCGTATTTATATTTTTAGCTGATCGCCCCTGTAGTACCAATATGGATATTAAATCATAGTGGTACTATGGCAAGAATATGGTTAAAAAGACTGTATTTTAAGGGAATGGATGCGTGGAGAAATTTGGTAACGGTCGAAAAGCATCCAAATCTCGACCTTTTTGGTGCTCATTTACAATCATCGTTGTGTCAATGCTTTTAATTTAGGTTTTATACAATACGATCACACCACATATTCATATTGTCATTTACTCTATTCATATCGAGTTTGAATATGCATCAGTGCTTATTCATATGAATATTAATGGTTACGGGATCATAATTACACGCTTCCCGTGCAATGACTCTTGTTTTTCTCACAAGTTCTTCATTCGGTTCTTTCTATAGATAATCCTTGCAGCCTATTACTGCATTTCCGATGTGGTTCTCTTCTACCAAGTGATTTACTACCACAATCGTTCATATCCTGCCGAGCGAACGCCTCTCCTTGTCGACGCTCCATCTTCTCGACGCATTTCCTACCTATCAACTATCCTTAAAGTTCTCGGTCTGTCCGTCATTGCTTGCGCCTTGGGGGCTGTGCTCTGCTATTTTGTCTCGAATGTGATACGGCCAGCTGGAAATGGCCATGGAAAAGAAGATGAAAATATAGAATTCTTGTGGTTGCCGCAAGTGTTAGGATGGGGAAGTGCTTTCCTTTATTGTGAGTATATCAGGTCCTTGACATGATATGAATTTGTTTCCAGTCCACAACATATTATCATTTGAATGATTAAATCTTTTTGCATTCTTTTGCTTTCGTTTCTTTCTAGTGGGATCACGTATACCTCAGATATTTTTAAATTTTCGCAACAAGTCTTGCGAAGGTTTATCGTTGGCTATGTTTTGCTTCAGTGTATTGGGGAATGTGACTTTTGTCCTGGTAAGAATGAATGGATCGATTATTTCGTATGATTATTCGGCCTGTCTGTGCTCTTGAAAGCTAATTCCCCTTCGTCTCGGTTCCCTCTCAGTCTGTCCTCTTCCATTCAACCGACCCAGCATATCTGCTTATAAATCTTTCATGGTTAGTGGGCAGCGGAGGCACCTTAACTTTCGACTTTATAGTAAGTAAATAACGAACGTCTTTATTCTTTGAGCTTTGATCATGTCTAACATATTATCATTCGTTATTAGATATTCTTTCAATTCTATATATACAATAAAGGATGGGCGGTCGAAGTTTGATAAATAAAATTCGTGCACTTATACCTGTCCCAGTCTCGAAGAATGATTTCTTCATAAAAAACTAGAAATTTATAATTTAATCGACAAAGTGAATCTGAATGGATTTTTCTTAGGTCACATCCCCACGCATAGACTGCGGTACAAAGACTGCGGTACGCAGTAAACAAATGCTGCGGATTAATGATTAGAATTGTTAATTTAAATAAAGAGATCTATTGGTTCATGTAGTTTTCTACGAACATGCTTAAATAACCAGTCTTCTGCTAATTCACAATGATAATAAGCTCATTATTCTCGTATAATAATCGATTCAATGACGCAAGACCAAGACGAAACTTCCCAGGGACCAAACTCTCCCAACAAACGTACCGTCGAGTTGGCTAATGTTCTGTATCAAGTTCTGTATCAGCACAATCCTGAAATTTTAGAAGGCATCGAAGGACTTTTCGAATATTTTGTGGAAGAAGTATGGAAGCAAGGATTCATACGGCAATTGGGGATGAAAGAAGATGAAAAGACTAGACTAACGGATGATGAAATTGCATCGAGAGTATGCGATATAGTTAAAGACGATTTTCTCACTTTCAGCATTTGTGAAAGTGAAACGGATTGTCTGGAAATGTGTAACGAAATTACAAAACAGTGGAAGATATTTATTAGTTCGAACCCCGCTTCCGAGTCAGATTTTGTCATCAACTCCGATTCAGAATCAAACTCCGACGCCGATGAAGACAATGACGCTTCTTATGAACCAGGCACATGTGAACTCTGTCATCGTCACATGCCACTCACTTTTCACCATTTAATCCCAAAGAAGACTCACAAAAAGGTCCTCAGGAAAAAGCTCTTCACAAAGACAGAGGTCAATACACGCGGAGTAATGATTTGTCGGCAGTGCCATTCCGCTTGTCATCGATTAATTCCTCATGAAAAGATGGCGCTCGAATACAACACACTGGAGAAGTTGAGCGAACATGAAGGAGTGGCTAGGTTTGTCGACTGGGCTAGTAAGCAAAGAGGATATGAAAGCACACATCATCTGAAAAATTTAAGGTATGCAAAATAACTATGAATAATAACAGCGGACGGAGAACGCATCGGGAATCGATAGATCACTAGTTCTTCTGTCATTAAGATAGAGTCGTATAATAATAATAAATTAAAATCACGTGTTTATATTTCACGTTTGTAATCCAACGGCCATTTTTATGATACTCAGTGGGTATTACAATTAGCCGGTTCATGCCTTAATCTTGGAATCCTGTTATAGATTTCTTTATTCGGTTGATGTTCTTGACTGTCTTTAAGAACTCCCATTATGAAGTAGTTATGTAGTAAAGTCCTTTGTTCAGTTTAGTCACACAGTCGGGAACAATGCAACTTTTGTCGAAAACGTGCTCATAAAGAGGTTGTGACTGTATAGAGGGGGTTTTCCTATAAGTTCCATAGTATTGGTTCTCAAACATGGTGTGCTAATAAAGAGTTTTTTATATGATGTGCTTATAGAGAGGGTGACTATAAAGAGGTGCGACTGTATATTCCATGTTTGATACTGCGATATTTTTAAACCACGGTCACTCTTCATTGTCCATACAATTTTGGCAAAATCGTTTATTTACTCTGTCAGGGATTATAAAACCTGTCTCCACATATATCGGTACCAATTCCTGACATACCGAGATACGTCTTATCACTACGCATTTTCCTTTTAAGATGTCGGCTGACCCATAATTCACCGCTTTCAGCTGTGCCATTAACATATATATTGTCGGTCCTAGAGATTTCTTGAAACATTTTATGTAACTTGGTAAACTTTTCTCTCGAATCTGTTTTGCACACCACAATTGCAACCTGTCTCCAAGATTCGTATCCTATTGCCTTTTATATTTAATGGAGCCATTATCATACAACGAATATATCTATATATTAATTTATCATCTTTACACTTTTACTATATTAACAAACAGTACGTGACGCCAAGTGACCTGCTTTTAAACATTCTATCTGAAAATTTCATTTTGTTCCTAAAGTCAGATTTCGTACAGAAACTATACTAGAACTTGGGCTATATAGTAACAGACAGTAAAAAGTACAGAACAAGCTTTTTATTTTCTTGCAGACAGGGAAATAAAGACAATAAAACTAGTTAATTTCTTTACACAATCTTTAAATACATGGTCCAGTATTGAGTAA